AAAAGTGAAATATCATTTCCTAATCAATTATTCTGGCCTCTCTTCATAGAGCATTGTTGATCACTGGGTTACCTGAAGGATGGAGAATAATTTCATGTATATTCTTTATGTCTTGATTCCATCATTTCTATTCCTGGAAAAGCCAGTCATGTGAATGCTGACAAACATTTTCTGAAGTGAGGGACAAGGTCTATAAACATTTTATCTACATTGGAATTACAACACAGGTTACTGCATCATTCAATTGGTGCATCTCCAAGGGTGAGTCTTCTCTAATTAAATTCACTGGGACTTTGATCATAATATTGAGCGTAGACTTTGCTTCTCCAGAGATGCCACCAGGATAATCACCATGCAGAACATGACTTACAGAAACATGACCTTGGGGAAAATCAAAAAGGTCAAATGACCAAAAGGGGGAAGTTCAGTCTGGGCAGAAACAACGTATGTATAAACTCTCTTGTTTAAATCACGACTTTTAGCTCATTGTCTTTCATCCCTGGACATAGTTAGATAAATGCTATAGATCTCTCTTCTTGAGTCTTCCTTGAACACACCCTCTAAAGTGGCTCCCTGCTCTCTGTGTCACTCTACATCATATCACTTTTCAAGTACTTTTCACTCTGAAAGCAGCTTGATTTTTATGCTTTCTTACTTAGTGCCTATGACCCTCCACTACAAAGTGTTATGTGGTAGCCCTAGCCATTTGGCTCAGTGACTAGAGAGTCTGCCTGTGGGCTGAAGGGTCCCAGATTCAATTCCAGCCAAGGGCACATGCCCACATTATTGGCTCAATCTCCAGAATGAGGCACGCAGGAGGCAGACAATCAGTGATTCCCTCTCATCATTGATATTTCTATCTCTCTCTCTGTCTTCCTTGCTCTCTGAAATCAATAAAAATACATTTTTAAAAAAAGAACATGTTATGGTGTACATTTCATTATTCTGACATAGACCACAGCATTTAAGGTCACAACTTCTAAACCCAAAATAGATGAACTCAAATCCCTTTTAGGCACTTTCCAGTTCTAAGATCTACAGAAAACTAAATTTTCTCAGTACCAGCTAATTCTTCTGGAAAGCATTACTTGCTTCCATCAGGCTCTTATGGGGATTAAACAATAACGTCTTTGTAGCACCAGCCAAAGTGCAATAAATAGCAATAGCTTTTGTTATAATTACTAATTATTGTACTATAGATTCATTTGCCATAAAAAGTTTATTAAATTTTGGGGTCTTGCTTAAACTTATTTTAATGTTGTAGACATTCCTTCTTTTAAAGTGAACTCTTTATGCAGTGAATCTCATCAATCTCACATCAACCTGAGGGCTTCATCGTGATCTCCTAACAATAATATCTACATAGAGTTGAATGATAAATGTAAACCATAGAGTTTTTCAAAAGTCTAACAGAAATAGAGCACTGATGAAGAAGTGAGGGAAGCAACAAAGACAGTGACACTTATTAAGAACCCTCTGATTGAAGGCACTGTGAAGCATGTACTACCAACTCATCATATACATGAACCCAGATTAAAATCAGATCTTGAGAGATTGTGAAATACTCACAATGTTATATGAAGTAATGAGACAGAAGTCAATACTAGTTGTGTGAACTCCATACCCAGAGCTCTGCTGCTAACAGAGGCTGAATTAACCTAAAAGATATAAATGTCCTTGCCTAAGTGCAAGGGAAAAGTTATCTCACATGGTATTGGTCATATGAGGAGGTACCTTTTTCACCTACGGAAATAGGGACCAAGACAAGATACTCAAAGGTCCTCATCCAAACAGAGTGAGGCTCTTGCTAGTTCAAGAAGAAATATAAGTCAAGATCTGCCCCTATTAGAAGTAGGGTCAGCACCAGCCAATATTTTTTTCCTTTTAAATATATTTTTATAAGTTTACTATGTGCCAGGAACTTTCATAAGCACTTAACATATGTAAACTCATTTAACTGGACCCAAAATTTTATGATATAGGTATTATCATTACCATTTAAAAGATAAAAATAAGGGGTAAAATATATTTTTGTTTTGTAATTGCAAAGGTATTAAGCCTTCACTGCATGATTTACAAAGAATTGATTTCCAGAGAATCTACTCTGAAAGACCTTAAGAAGAAAATTCCTTAAAAAGGTGATTTATTAATAGGCTAGAGATGCACACACAGTCTATAGCACTATTGCTTAGAAACCTCTGGATAATTTGTTTAAAAGGCATACATTCCAATCCAACAGCAATCCTATTGAGTTAGAATCTAGTGTGCATTTTAACAAGAATTTCAATTGATTCTGAAAGTACACCAAAGGTTGACAACCAAATGGACAACAAATAAATTTTAATGGAATATTTTCATGATAAATTTTCACCAGCATACTTTTATGTGCAGTGTTCAGTTTGTCTTGAACCACGAAAATTATTTTCTCTTTGACACTGAAAAGATGTGAGAGGCACGGGTGGAGGGGACTTTGCGCCTCCCCTCCAAACTGTAGTTCTTTTGAGAATACAAGATGACCACATAATATACCATCAAAAGGAGGAAGTTCAGTAAGCAGATGAAGCCACTGTTGGCATCAACAGAGAGACCAAAGGTAAGAGAGTGTATGCAGACAAGTTTCAACAAAGGATACAAATCACACATGAAATGACCTATGACACTGGGGCCACGGAAGGGCAGCCAGACTGTGAAGAAAATCTGAATTCTTGCATGGACCAAGGTACCAGGCCAGGCCACTGCCACAAGAAAGCTACACACCTGTTGGCTCATGATGGCGGTGTAGTGCAGGGGTTTGCCAATGGCCACATCATGGTCATAGGCCATCTCAGTGAGAAGGATAATCCCAACAGCACCAAAAAGAAGCTCAGTGAAGACTTGAGAGATACTCCCTCTGAGAGAGATGATTGTTCTCACAGTAAGAGTGTCAGCTAGCATTTTAGGGTTCGTGGAGGAAGAACAGTAGCCATCTCACGTAAGACGTAAGTGAGTCAGGAAGAAGTACATGGGGGATCCTAGGGTCCTGCTGGTGCTAACGGTGATCATAATGAGCAAGTTGTCTGCCAAGGTGGCCAAGTAGACTATTAAAAACACCACAAATGAAAATGTATGAATTGCCGAAACCGGTTTGGCTCAGTGGTAGAGCGTCGGTCTGCCGACTGAAAGGTCCCGGGTTCGATTACGGTCAAGGGCATGTACATTGGTTGCGGGCACATACCCGGTAGGGGTGTGCAAGAGGCAGCTGGTCGATGTTCATCTTTCATCGATGTTTCTAACTCTCTATCCCTCTCTCTTCCTCTCTGTGAAAAGATCAATAAAATATATTTTTTTAAAAAAAGAAAAGAAAATGTATGAATCACCATATTTTGAGTCAGTCATAGGGGAATGAATATTCTCCATCAATTCAGTTCAGGTGACAAGTGACTTCCCTAAAAAGGAAGTTATGCTCGTCCTCAATGATACTATCTCTTAATGAATAAGTATATCCATGGAGTGTCTTACTTTTTTAAATTTATGGAATACAAAAACAAATACAAAACTGTATAAACTGTTTCGTTCACTTAATATAGACAAAAATATAGGTGCTTTTTTTTATTCTTTATAATTTCCTGACTTGTTTAGATTTTCTACAAGACAATGTATAATAAAATCAGAAGAGAAAAATATTGTGCATTGAGCGTTTTTTAAATTATTATATAAGGACACATTTGTAATACTTTAATAAATAATTTTTATATTGATTTGAGAAGAGATCGATAAGCTGTTGTTCCATTTATTCATGCATTCATTCATTGATTGAATCTTGTATGTGCCCTGACTAGGGATCAAACCCTGAATCTTAGTGTAGCTGGACAATTCTCTAACCAAGTGAGTTACCCAACTAAGGGTTTTAAGAGTCAGCCTGGCTGGCATGTCTCAGTAGTTGAGCATTGACCTATGAACTAGGAGATCACAGTTCTATTCCCCATCAGAGCATATGCCTGGGTTGCTGGATCCCCAGTGTAGGGTGTGCAAGAGGCAGCCAATCAATGATTCTCTCTCATCATTGATGTTTCTCTCTCTCCCTCTACTTTGGTCTCTGAAATCAATAAAAATATTTTTTAAGTTTTAAGAGTCAGTCGATCATGTGGACATATATGTGGCATACTCACAAATATACAGAGATGCATATATTTTACTCCAAAATTACTAGGCATATTTACCAATAAAAAATCCAATTGGTTCTATTAATTTAAGTAATATAAAAAGAGTCAAAGACGTGTAAGGATTCCCTCATAAGCCATACCTTTCCCTAGGGTTAGAGTTAGGGTTAGAGTTAGGGATAGGGTTAGGGTTAGGGTTAGGGTTAGGGTTAGGGTTAGGATTAAGGTTAGGGTTAGGGTTACAGGTGATGAAACTGACAGAAAGATGAAGGTATCAAAATAGCTATATCAGAAAGCCAGTAACCAGAACTTACCTATTTCCTATATCATGTCCTTAACTGTTGTTAACTTCCAAGCAATGATGATAGATCAGATAACCATAGTAGTTATCATTTATTGAGTCAGGGACTGTGCTGGACCCAGTTTATTGTCTAATACTAGTTCTGGCCCAAGGCAACCTGTTGAATTTATCCCACAATAAACAACAACAAATTCTCCAAAAGATTGTAATTCCAATGGAAACCAGCATCTCAATGTTACATAATATTAATAGGATTATTTAAACACCAATCTAATAATCTAGATTTATTGCCTTTTAGCTTCTAAAGATATTTCAAATTTCCAGGTAATTGATAAGTATTTATTAATTAAGAAGCAATAACTTATGATGACAAGAGTGTGGAATAGAAGCCAGTAAGTCTGGATTCCAGTGCACGCTTTAGCTCTGTGCTTCAGCAGCTAGCTGCAAGTATCATCCAGCCTCTTCTTAGGTGGATGGCGTCATCCACAGATCTAAGAGGTTTGGGCTAGATTACCTCTATTCTATCTGTAATGCTCAATGATTCCATTTAATCATTATTGTTAAAAAGTCACCTTTTTCCTCCAGAGCATCGTCATAGCATTTTTTACCTCAGCATTTCTGAGTGTGTAGATTAAGGGATTTAACATAGGAACCACCATAGTATAAAAGACAGCGACAGCTTTGTCCATAGGCAGTGTGGTTACTGGGCGCAGATACACAAATATGCAGGGCACAAAGAATAAGATGACCACTGTGATGTGAGACAGACAGGTGGAGAGGGCTTTGCGCCTCCCCTCCAAGCTGTAGTTCCCTAGGGAGCTCAAGATGACCACATAAGAGACCATCAAAAGGAGGAAGTTCAACAAGCAGATGAACCCACTGTTGGCAGCAACAAAGAGACCCAGGATGTGAGTGTCCATGCAGACGAGTTTCAACAAAGGGTACAAGTCACACATGAAGTGATCTATGACATTGGGGCCACAGAATGGCAACCAGACTATGAAGAGGATCTGAATGGTTGCATGGAGAAATCCTCCTGCCCACGCCACTCCCAGCAGGAGAATACATAGCCTGTGGCTCATGATGGTGGCATAGTGCAGAGGTTTGCAAATGGCGACATAGCGATCATAGGCCATCACCGTCAGCAGGATGATCTCGGTAGCACCAAAAATGTGTTCTGCATAGACTTGAGCCATACAACCATTAAAAGAGATCATTTTCTTTTCATGAAGGGAATCCACAATCATCTTAGGGGCTGAAGAAGAACAATAGATTAGGTCTATCAAGGAAAGGTGGGTCAGGAAGAAGTACATGGGGGAGTTCAGAGCCTGGCTGGTGGTGATGGTAACCACAATGAGCAGGTTGCCTGAGAGTGATACCATGTACAAGACCAAAAATAACAGAAACAAGACTTTCTGCATTTGGGGGTTCTGTGTAAGTCCTGTTAAAATGAATTCAGTCACATTCCTTTTATTCTCCATCTATGTGGTATGAGTGATAAAAACTCCAGGAAGGAATGCTTTACCTTTAAAAAAAAAAAAAGGAAGAAAAAAGGAACTTAAACCGGTAATAATGATAGTCAATAAGTCAAATATAAATAATCAACCAGGTAAGTTTAATGTAAAATCTATTTCCACTTACTTGATGAGGAATATACATATCATTCAAGTAAACTTCAAGATAGTACTTGAAATTATTTTTTTCAATTATTGTCACTTTTTGCTAGCCCTCAGATTCCTTTATTCTCTATATCTTTTTTATTTTAAATTTTATTTTATTTTATTTTTCCATAACCTTTTATCCCTTCTATGCCCTCAATTACCACACTGGCATCCATGTCCATGAACTCTCTCTTTTTTTTTCTTCTCTATCTATAAAAGCCTAAAATGCAAATTGTCCCTGCAGGAGTTTGACCTGGAGACCAATCACTTACTATTACATGCACTGACCACCAGGGGGGCAATGAGGAATGAAGGAAGGCCCTGGCTTGCAGCCAGCAGACAGGGAAAGGAGGCCCTGGCCAGCAGTCAAAAGGCCCCAATGGGCCCTGATCACAGGCCAGGCCTAGGGACCCTACGCATGCACACATTTCATGCACCGGGCCTCTAGTATATTAATGTATTCCTAAAGCACGGAGTCAGTGAAGGGTAAGACAAACTGTCTATGTTACACATGGACAAAGTACATAATGAAGTTCATGGGAGGGAATCCTTTTTCAGATGATTCCACAAATGTTTCATTGAGAAGCTAGCCTTAGAGTTCCAAGCCCCAGGATAGTGGTCTCCCTTTGACATCACCCACTGCATTGGAGAATCCTTCCAGTGACAAGAATCCTTGAGAAGAAAGTTGCCAACTCTACTCTAGAGAAGATAGCCCTTGGGAGAACCAATAACCAATTACTGCTATGTTTTAATAAATTTCTGGAAGTCTGTGCCAAAGATCGGATTTCATTATCAAAATCAGATAAACTTGATTGTTTCATAAACATTATTTCATTTATTACATCAGTTTCTCACAAACCTTAAAGTAGTTCAAATATATTTTTGAAACACTTCCCTTTTACAATTTCATCTGCCTCCTTTGGTCCGACACCATACAGAAATAGCTTAGCCTTATGTCAAAATTGATGTATTTGATGTCCTCCATTAATTGGCAGATTCAAGCACAGGATCAATTCCTTTTCTGTCCTAGTTCAAAAACCAATAGTGTGCCTGTTACCACTCAAACTATCTAATACCCATATTTTTAAAGAAAAAAGAAGTGGAGAAAAGTGTTGATCAGAATGACCCTGATCTTTCATAAAAGGGCCCATGGATTGCAATTAAAAAGCAAAGAGTTAAGCAGACAAACTTCTTCCATATGTACAAACATTTTAAAATGCAAACTTTTATTATAACTCTAAATAGCATGAAGTGATTTATTTTCACACCATGTAGTTTCTATAATGATAGTTAATTTTTGTAGAGTGTTTGCCATGTGCTAGGCATTATACTAAGTACTTTACATGCATTATCTTGTTTAATCTTCACAACAATGCTTTGGGGTTGGTACACAATTATCTATATTTTGAAGAATAGAAAACTGTGGCTAGGAGAAGATAAGTGATTTGCCCAAAGTCATAATGGTAAAAAAAAAAACAAAATAAAAAAAAAAACACCTGTATTCAAATCCAGGATGTCTGTCTCTATCTTTAACATTAGTACTTCTCCAGTATAAATCCAATTTACTTCTAGGAATCAGCAATGCCAGAGTTTGACAGTGGGTTGGTAGCTAATACCATCACCTGTGACTATGAACTCTGTGGTGGTGCTTTGGTTAACTTATAAAATGTTAATGAATTTGAGGGTTCCCTGGACAAGACCCTAGAATTGCTGTATATTAAAAATCCTTCAGAAGTTTTCATTTTATCAACTAATACACTCTTTAAAAGATAAGGAAACTGAGGCCCAGAGATGTGAAGTCTAATGAAATATAAGTAATTGATTAGTCTCTGATTAAAATAAGAATACAAATCTTCTAATGTCCAACAAGGTAATTTTTCTCCACCAACACACCTTGTATTTCTTAAGATACCTTAAGACAAGCTGGATACAAAGGGGAAAAACCACTCTCCAGTAACAAAGGGAATTAACTTTCATCTCTTAACTCAAATAATACCTATCTTGACTCTCTCAAAAAGGGCTAAGTTCAGGGATGCAGAAATTCAGTTATATTATTGAAATTACAATCCACTGTAAGAGAAATAAAGTCTCACCTGGTTGGAACAAGAGCCAAGAAAGTTTGAAGAGTCCGAATAAAAAGTGCCCTGAGCCTGGTATTTAATATAGATTCCCAACCACAGTGGAAGGTACATACTTTCCTCACAGATCTTATAAATTAATGCATTCTTCTTATGGATCTGTTTTAGGACTGAAGGTTTCCTTTAAGAATCAGAATCCAAATGTTATCCTTTTCCTCTGTCCTATTAACCTGTCTTACCACAGTGAATGTCACACACCCTGTCTCAGCTTCACCTCAAATTTTCCTTCTTTATTCTCACTTGATTTTCATACTGGTATCTCCTGTCAATACCAGGTATGGTTTTTCCTCCCTTTTATCCCTGTAAATTATCAGTCAGAGCACTCTTTCGAGTAAAAAGCCAATCTCTGACCATCCAAACCATCGCACCCTAGGCCCTACCCCTGGAGGAAACCCTCAGTGGCCCATCCAGCTCTGACCTGCTGACCTACTGTGGTGTCTCCCAGTCCAAAGCCTAGAAATTGGCTCAAGGATCCATAGAATGTAAACCTATTCCTGATGATAGAAATATACCCCTATTCAGTGAGGATAACAAGTATTCCTGCAAAATACCCTAAAACATCTTAAAGTGATCCCCATCAAATATCAGAAAGTAATGCTTCAATTATTGCAGATTTTTGATGCAGTTTTTACATTTCCATTTTCTACCAAATATGAGCTTTTCTGGGCCTTGATCAAATGATGCTCACAGTGAACATCAATTTCCTTAAACATAAAATAGAATTATTAATTCCTCTCTCAAGGGAATAATATGAGCATTAGATAAAATACAACACTTAGAAGAATGACATAAACACAGAATGCTCATTATATGTTAGTTCTCACTGTATCCACATTTCTTTTATCTCTTACAACTTTTCAAGGATTCTCAACTTTAATCAGACATTTTAGTAAAAAGAAGATCAAATACTTGCAGAAAGATTTCAGAATTATAATGACGTATGAGTCTGTATTCAGTACTTTAAAACTTGGTCTTTCTTTTCTCCTTATTTCTGTATTTGCCAAGATTCTACAAATACTTTATCAATATAGACATAAATATAGATATAGCAATAGAGATAGATATAAAAGCATACAGGTATAGATAAATTCAATAAATTCAATAGAAAAGGAAAAAATGACAAGGCATAATTTACCCCATAAAAAAAAACAGGAAAGAAAACAAATATTACATAATTCCATTTATATGCTGTATCTAACTCATAGAAGCAGAAAGTAATAATATTGGTTTCCTGGGGCTGGTGGAAGAAGGTGGAGGAATGAGCAGTAATTGTTTAATGGATTATAGAGTTACAGGTTGGAAAAATGAAAACCTTCTGGAGATGGTTTGTGGTGTTGTTCACATAGCAATTTGCTCACTTAAAAATGTGTGAAATAGTACATTTATGGTATATATTATTTACCACAATAACAAAATACTGGGAAAGAGAGACAGGCGCAGTGAGTTAGTAGCAAACAGGAGCCAAATTGTCAACTCTTGAGGATAGAGCTAAAGGCATTGCTTCTGGTTCTGGTTCTGGACTTCAGGAGTATGTCAATTTGGTTTAAAGGTACAAATTGATAACGAAGAAAGGTGATTCTGTACTGGTATGCAGCCAGCTCTTCAACACCTCAGAATCAAAGAGAAAGAAGATTATAGTGGATATTCCTTTTTATAGTGTTTCCACACTCTACCTCTGATATGCTGTCTTTAAACACGAGTGCTTGGTTGAATGTTTTTTTTTTTTTCTCCATGGCTACTGTGTGAAAACATGGTACTTTACTGTATTTCCCCAACCTTCTCTCCCTGTGGGGCAGAGAGAAAAGCTACATCCCCCCGATGTAGGTATTCTAGGTATTCATCTAGGTATTCATCCCAAAGGAAGTAGATATATCTATGGCTTATGTATTATTGAATCTTTGATAGCCAGGAATCCTGCCATCTAAGGCTTCTCAGTCAGTCACTAATAAGGATGTCACTTTCCCAGGTTTATCTGGCACATAACCTTGAAGAGACTAGTATTTCCATTCTTCGAGCAACCATATCATTCAGAACAGTCATGTTCCAGAGAGAAATCCAATCTCTGAATTCTGACCATTGCTTAATAATACCACATATCCTATGCCATGTTCACCAATGTCAAAATGATCAACAAAGCCCTATAATGAGCTCTTCAACTTCCTGTATCGAGGTCCCATCCTAAAATAAAGCCAGAGACACAAGTCTAACCAAAGCTCAACTTCATTTTTAAAACTGGCCTCCAATGAGATTTGTGGGTGCCAAGTAGGAGTAAATGAAAGACTTTGTTTAAAGCGTCAAGAATTACTTCATCAGAACCAATTACTAATTCTCTGAGGACCTGAGAGGTCAATACAACAAATCCTGCACTTCTTTCAAGCTTATTCAAACATTTCCCTAGAGTCAGTGAAGAAATAATTGGGAGGGGGAAAAAGGACATTTAAGTACATGACAGCAGCAGAGCCATGTACCAACAATCTGAAAATTGGTATGGGAAACACTGTCCCAAGCTTTGTGGGTTAGAAGGAAGGCTGAAATCAGGAATAAAAAGAATTCTCTCTAGATTGCTCATGACCTTGTTGGGAAACCAAAATTTAGCACAAATGATTTGAGAAAACATTGTCCAGTCAATTTTATTTGATTCAGTTAAACATTTTATAGTGTCATATGCCAGTTTTTCCTAATTTAAAGAACTTTCTATTGCTCCCATTATTTTTAATTTAGTTTGAATATAGTTCTAAATATTTGAAACTATATATTTTGAAGATGTAGTTATACATATATAGGAAGCCAAGAAAGTGGAGAGAAGTTAAATCCTTGAACTTCTAAAATTTCCTAACTGAAAGAGCTCATTTTCTGAGTGATCTTGGCCATACTGATGTGAACTAAAATAAAGTGCCCAAGATTGAGAGAATTGTCTAGAGAGATAAGGATTCCAGTGTCCGGCTGCTTAGCTCAAGGAGTGTATTTGCAGATGTGTGCCACGTGCCATGAGGGGAAGAAAGCAATGATGGAGCTCAATTTGCGAACGGAGGAACTCACAATCAACTAGATGCAGGTTAGTGACAACTACATCCTTTTCTCCAAATTTTAAGCAGATTGACTTCACTTAGTTTATTTTCACTGAAGTGGTTTTTGTACTTAGGGTGTGAAGTGAAGATTAATCTTTTTCTCTAAAAAGTGAATTTGGGCACAATGACATGAAACTATCAATCAATAGCACTGTCTGTATTACTGACAGATAAGACACTGTTGGGAACTCCTGAAGCCATTTATACAGCATTATGGTTAACATTTATGTCTCACTAAGTTGATGGATTCCACAGGTTTCTGTTTTAATGACTTGAAATTTGTTCTCTTCTTTATGACATTCCTGTTGACACATGAAGTCAGAATTTGTGAATTAAATCTATTAAGAATAATTTAACCGCATAGTTAACATCTGTAGGAGTCATGTATAAAGAAACAACTTAGCATTCCTAAAAACTAAACATACCTTTCCTCACCTTTATGGAAGCTTAGGATTATGATGCTGACATAGGGAAAATGTGTGGTTATGTGTTTTGGCAGGGACTGGAGAAAGGAGAGAGAAGGGGAGAAAGAATAAAAAAGCTTTATGGTCTTTTGTAACAACAACGTGTACTCATTCTAGAAAACTCATGCATAGATCATTCCAAAAAAAAACAAAAACAGATTGTATTTTTGAATTTATTCAATATTTCCACCAGTTAGCAATGAAAACTTCAAGTTCATCTTAATTAATACACATGTCAAAAGCAAAAAACAAAAAAGTATATTATTTTAAGTGAGTCTATCATGTCTCATGTCAACAGGAAACTTCACGACTCATTTAAATCCATTTGTAAAATATAGCAGGATAATATATCTAATCCAGGGCATTATTCTATAGTTGATGAAAGACTAATTAAAATATTGAAAAATTTTCAGGGAAATTTATACCACTTACATGTCCACATTTAATGGTGTGGAAAGAGTCATGCTGAGCCAGACACAGCAACTGGGGCTGTTGAGTGAATGCTGCTCAGTGAGCTGTTATAAAGATAATTCCTTGGCATTTTGAAGGAAAAAGACTTCATCTGCAGCTCTGGTTCTCTATGTACATGTGCATTCTTTGGCCGAGATTCATAAGAGCTCACAACACATTAGATATAGATATAGTAAAGCTAGGTACTTTCATATCTGATACACAGTCGACTTTTTTCCTATTCAGTTATTTGTACATTTATTTCTAAATGAATCCATGCAGAATTTTTTTTATTTAGTTATCTTTATTGTTGAAAGCATTACAGATGTCCCCTTTTCTTCCCCATTGGCCCCCTCCACCTCCTTCCCACCCCCACCGCCAGGCCTTCCCTGCATTATTGTCTGTGTCCATGGGTTATGTATACGTTTCTTTGGGTGATCTCTTCCTGCCCCTCCTCCTCCCTACCTTCTGAGATTCCTCAATCTGTAAAAGAATATCCTGTTCACATAACCTATATATAGTCATGCCAATAGATAAGTATACCTTCAAAACAATTGTTACTAATGAGGCATCCCCAAAAGTGAAAGAAAGCCATCTATGAGACTTTTAGAGCTACAAAGAAAGTTTGGAAGTCAACCACAAATCAGCATTTACAATAACACCTTGCTTTTATTGTGGTGTTTGTAAGGTGTTGTCACTATTTGATTAATATAGGAGAAAATTTAACCTACTTCCATTCTTCTTTATAGCTATCTACAAAATGACAGAAATGAGTGGAAGGGGTAACTCCATCAATCCCAAAGACCAGGTCTAAAGAAAGTGATAGACTTACTGAAACCGATTTGGCTCAGTGGATAGAGTGTCAGTCTGTGGACTGAAAGATCCCAGGTTCAATTCTGTCAATGGCACATCCCCAGCTGATCGATGATTCTCTCTCATCAATGTTTCTAACTTTCTATCCCTCCCTGTAAAAAAAAAATCAATAAAATATTTTTTAAAGTGATAGACTATTTTAGTACTGAATTTAAAATATCATCATTCAAAAATACTGTGATCTTTCCAGATAGACCAAGCTGAATCAATGAAAAGGACAAGCAACATAACAGAATTCATCCTACTGGGCCTGACCCAGAATCCAGACCTGCAGAAAGTCTTATTTGTTGCGTTTTTAATCATCTACTTGATCACACTGGCAGGTAACCTGCTTATCTCAGTCACCATCTTCATCACCCCAGCCCTGAGTTCTCCCATGTACTTTTTTCTCTCCTATTTGTCCATTTTAGATTGTTTCTACTCTTCTTCCATAGCACCCAAAATGATCTCTGACTTGATCTCTGAAAAGAACATCATATCCTTCAATGCTTGCATGACCCAGCTCTTTATTGAACATTTCTTTGGTGGAACTGAGGTCGTCTTGTTAATTACCATGGCCTATGACCGCTATGTAGCCATCTGTAAGCCCTTGCACTATATGACCCGCATGAGCCGACCTGTGTATGGTTTGCTCATGGGAATGGCTGGTGTTTTAGGGCTTCTTCATGGAGGGATCCAGCTTTTGTTCATAGTCCAGTTACCATTCTGTGGCCCTAATGTCATCGACCATTTTATGTGTGATTTAACACCTCTCCTGGAGCTAGCCTGCATAGACACTCACACTTTGGGGCCCCTGATTACTGCCAACAGTGGGTCACTGTGCTTGCTTGTTTTTTCTATGCTGGTTGCGTCCTATGTCGTCATCCTGTGCTCCCTCAGGACTTACAGCTCTAAAGGGCGTCGCAAAGCCCTATCTACGTGTGCCTCTCATGTCACTGGTGTCATCTTATTCTTTGTACCTTGTATATTCCTGTACCTAAGACCTTCAACCTCCTTTCCCATTGACAAAGCTGTGGCTGTGTTTTGCACCATAGTAACTCCCATGCTGAACCCTTTAATCTATACCCTCAGAAATGCAGAAGTAAAAAATGTCATGAAAAAGCTCTGGGAGCAAATAATGAATACTGGTAATGAATAAATCTTGTAATTGGAATATAGGGAGGGGGGAATCTTGTGATATTTTATAGATATTTATTCCCTTTCTGAGTTGATTAAACTTGGGGCAGTCAATTATCCTATTTGGATCATTTTTCTTCAGGAACCCACATGTTGTGGGCAGGCTGACATATCCATTAAGGATATGTCACAAAGCTCAGAGCTTTGTGACATATCCTTAATCGGCACAAAGCTCAGAGCTCAGAAGAGTTATATGAGCCCATGCAATGTGTTTTTTTACTTTTAAAATAATATTTTAAAATAAATATTGATATAATCAAATATAACCTTGGTGGGAGGGTTATTTTTATTTTTGTGTTTTTTTTGTTTGTTTTGGGGGGCTTTTTTATTGTTGTTATTTGCTTTTTAAACACATTTTTATTTATTTTAGTGAGAGAGAAACATTGATTAGAAAGAGACATTGATCAGCTGCCTCTTGCATGTCCCCTAAAGGGGATCAAGCCTGTAACCCAGGCATGTTCCCTGACTGGGAATCAACCTGCAACCTGTTGGTACTACATGGGATGATGCTCCAACCAACTGAGCCACAAGGGCCAGGGTCAAATAAAACTTTAGATTTCAGTCATCTTTATATAATGCAGTTATAAAATACAATTTTTAATCTTTTTATGGAGGAAAGGACCCATGAGGACAAAAGTACCAAGGGCCTACAAAAGTCATAATGTTTCCCTTACTATGGATCTGAAACAGATAAACAGCAATATTCTTAAACACACTTTATACCTGGCAATATAGCTAGAATGAAGTTTTATTTTAAAGGAGGGAAAACAATGGTCAACAATGAACCACATGAACAATGGTGGTCCCACAAAATTACAACTGAGCTTAGAAATTCCTATCAGTTAAGGACATAGTAGCTGACATAACATTGTAGGGCAACACATTCCTCATGTTTGTGGTGCGTCTGGTGTAAGCAAACCTACTGTGTTGCCAACCATATAAAAGTATAGCACACACAATTATGTTAGTGCATAATACTTGATAATGACAACAAGGGGCTATAATACTGGTTTGTACATTTACTATTATTTTAGAATGTACTCTTTCTAATTGTATTTTTTTTTAAAAAAAGTTATAGAACAGTATACCATGTTATGCCAGGAGCAACCTCGTACATCTCATGCTTATTACCTCTTAAAATTGCATCTTTTTTTGTGTGCTTGGTTTAATCTCACATTGTGCAGGCATGTAGACTCTGATCATTAGGCTATATATAGTCATGTAAGAATAAGTATATGGAACTGGACAACAGTGACCACAAATCTGAATTAGAGAAAAGAATCCACATCATGAACACAATGAAAATCTAAAAGATTTGGAAATGGCCTGATGTTTTGAAGTCAGCGATTAAGAGCTTTGGATTAAATGAGCTTGATTTCTCATCTTGTCCAAAGCTTTAGAGAGCCTTGTGAGTAGAAGCAAGTTGCTTAACCTCTCTGCCTTTTTTTTTTCTTATCTGTAAAACGGAAATGGCATTACATACTTCCTTAAGTTGTAAGAATTAAATGATTTAAGTTGGAAAAGAGTCACCTGAAAGACAGTGAAAATTGCTCAGACATTATTACAGTCTTCAAAGATGACACTACAGCACCAGGTATGCTGAGGACTGCAGTGCCTGGCAGCAGAGTCCAAGGTCACTGCCACTGTCATTCACTAACCATGATCACAGGAGGGTCAAATGTCTGCCTCAGCCTCACTTCACTTCAATATGTGTAATAAATGTCATCCATTTACAAGGAGGGCCAGCAACAAAGTGAGTTATTATCTCCAACACAGAAACTTCATGGGGCAATGAGCAAGGTCTCTGGACACTGAGAGCTAGCCCATCACCAACTCCTTATTCTGGGATTAAAATGCCCTATAATATTTCTGCAGTTACCCATAGGGAGTGGTTAGAGTGATTTGAGATCCAAGTTGTTTGAAAAGCTTTCATGAATGTTGGATCCTGTCAGTTCCGGTCCTCCAGAAGGAGGAGAAGAGGGAGACCAAGGGCAGAGACCAAAAGAACTATCTGTACAGAGTTTGTGATTTCTGGGGAAGAATTCAGAAACTTGCTTTCAGGAGGTTTCTCACCCAGGGATTCAAAAATTATGGGATGCTGACATGTCTCATGCTCTTGGGACTTTTATCAGACTAGATCTCTCTATATATGAAAGCCTTTGAAAAATAGATGCTGTGCCATAATTTCTTATGAGTAACCATCTTGTAAATATATACAAGCGATTGTATGTTTAAAATATCAAATTTAAATATTTAATTGTAGTTCCCAAGAAAGACAGAATGAAACAGGATAATGTAAAAATAAAGATGATGATGATGATGATGATGATGATATAATGATGATTGCTAATGTTTGTTGAGCACATTCTGTGAATAAAGTCATGAACTAAGTATTTATTTTGTATGTTTTGAGGAAGCAAATTTCTGATCTTAATTTTTTCTGTCAATTCATTTTTAAGTTAGTTGGGCCATTATTAATCATAATTCTGACAACCAAAAACAAGAGCAAAAAAAATGTTTATAATAAAAATAAAAAATACACACACACAAAGTACAATGGAATCAATCTTTTATGCTATTTGAGATTCTGACTGTACTGAAAATAAAGGTACTTTCCAATTTTCAACTAAAGTAAGTATTCTTTTCTAGAAAGTCCCATGATAAAATTGCATCAAGCTGGCAAAATTTTATTTTTAAGCAAGCCTCATCATGATTTCATATTTCTTAGCTGATGGGGAAAAAAATAGTGTAGTTATACTTTTACTATCTAACAGCAGAAATGAATAGGAATAGAATTGAAGGTCTCATTTATATGTAGTTATTATTATTTAGATTTAAACACATAACAAGGTGAAAGAAGACAATATTTATTTTGCCCAAGAACTCAGCAACAGTTGTTTTTGTTAGATATAGAATTGGGGGAGCAAACCATTATTTCCTGATTATCTCCTGAATTTATTGACTATTGAAGACTAATTTTTAGTACTTCCAGTTTTTTCCATAGTGTAAAAAGTGGATATGATGGTGAATTACAGATTATCTGTCAAACAAAATATAAGTTTATTACAAATTATGGGAGGCTACAATCTTAAAAGGTGAATTCTGGGAATGGATATAGTCAGAGTTTGTAAAACTAGAAAAAGAATGGGATGAACATGAATGGATGTTTCAGATTCCAGGATACTAGAATCCCTTGCAGTTTGAAACAGAAAGAGGAAGAAAGAAAGTCCACTTTGCATCATTGGCCAAAACATAAACCACTCTGTTCTTAGCACAGCATATTTGAAACTTAGTAGAGATAGAAAAAGGAAAGGAAAGCAACATCTGATTAATCAATTAACCTTATGGAAGATTAGGAAAAAGATGAGGTACATATAATCATCCACATAAAATGTGTTGGAGTATATGTGCCAGAAATCTGATTAGGAACTTTACATAGATTATCTAATTTAATTCTTACAATAACACTTTAGACATTATCATCTTTATTTATTTTATTTTTATATATATATATATATTTTATTGATTTTTTTACAGAGAGGAAGGGAGAGAGATAGAGAGCTAGAAACGTCAATGAGAGAGAAACATCGACCAGCTGCCTCTTGCGCACCCCCTACCAGGGTTGTGCCCGCAACCAACGTACATGCCCCTAACCAGGATTAAACCTGGGACCTTTCAGTCCACAGACCAATGCTCTACCACTGATCCAAACCGGTTCCGGCATCTTTATTTATTTTAAAGGCAAGCTTCACACACTACAGAGGTTTGGACTTGCTCAAGGTCATGACATTTTCTTATACATGGGAAATAAGAATCAGACGCAAGTTCACCTTGCTGCAGAGCCAAGATCTTACTGTCTCTGCTGCAAGGTAGCAGCCTGCTGATGTCACAAAAAGATGGAAGAAGAAATGGAAGCCAGACCTAGATGCACAGACTCCTATATGTAGTGAAGTGTAAAGTTTTTTGCCTTAAGTTGTATTTTGCTCACATTTATACAACGTAATTTTTGCACAGAGTCAAATAATATTAACATGGATTGTTATTGAAAGATCTGGATGATGAATCACAAATAACTGATTTTGAGTTTAGGCACATCAAGGCTAGAGACCCTTGATTAATCAATTAACCACGTCAGGAGACATTTTTCTCATTTCTGAAACAGGAATAATAATTATTCATGCCCTATATATTTCATATAGTTATTTTATAATCGGAGTATGCAGTTCAAGTGAAAAGAAACCATAAAAGTGGATGACGATAAATAGATGGATAAAATTATATAAGCTGATATACGGTAACAAAACAGTTTTGGTTTGCTCTACTCACAGCAATAAAATCATTTTTATTTCCTCTTTTGCCACTCATGATCCACCCGCAATTTTTTACAATGTGAAAAGCTTCTTCATGGCACTTTTTACCTCGTCATTTCTCAGGGTATAAATGAGTGGATTCAACATGGGTGTCAGAATACCGTAAAACACCGCCATGCTCTTGTCTATCGGTAAAGTAAACGAAGGGCGCACATACGTAAACACACAGGGCACAAAGAACAGGGCGACAACAGTGAAGTGAGCCCCACAGGTGGAGAGGGCCTTGCGTCTCCCCTCTGTGCTGTGGGACCTCAAGGAGCGCAGGATAACAATATAGGAGGTGGCCAGCATGAGAAAGTTCAACAGGCAGATCGCACCACTGTTGGCAACCACCAGCAGACTGGTGACGTATGTGTTGGTGCAGGCGAGTTCCAGCAAGGGGTACAAGTCACAGACAAAGTGATTCATTATGTTGGGCCCACAGAAGGGCAACTGAAGGACCAGGAGGAGCTGAACCAATGAATGCAGGAAGCCCCCAAGCCAGGACACTTCCACCAGCAGGGCACAGAGATGCCTGGTCATGATAACTGGGTAGTGCAGGGGCTTGCAGATGGCCACATAACGATCATAGGCCATCACCGTGAGCAGAATG